GAGAAATAAATGTCTGTATGTAAGCCACCCATTTTGGGGGGTTCATGTTTCTTTTTGCTGTTCTGATTGGGTGCTTTTTGTTCCATATATTCCACAATTTTTATTTGATTCTTGGAATCCTCTACTGTTGATTTTCTATAAATTATTCTTTATTTCAGATAGTGTGTGCTTCATTTCTGACTGATCCTTTTTTTTTTTTTTTTTTTTTTTTTTTTTTTTTTTCTTTTTGATGTTCTCACTAAGTTCCTTGAAGTTCTCAATAAGTTCCTTGAGTATCCTTATAACCATTGTTTTGAACTCTTTGGTAGTTTTCTGGCTTCCATTTCATTTTGTTCTTTTTCTATTGATTTCTTCTGTTCTTGAATTTGTGATATGTTTATTTCTCTCTGCTTGTTAGCTGTTTCCCTGTACTTGTTTCTATGTATTAGGTAGATCTGCTATGTCTCCCAGACTTGGTAGAGTGGCCTTATGTAGTAGGTAACTACATAAGTGGCCTATGGTAGTTGAGCCTTGGTTGATGTTGGAATCACTGGGAGGGTTTGACCCCTGGGCCAATCAGTTGTGAAGGTTGGTTGCAACAACAGAGGAAGAGCTAATGTGCAGGAACTGACCCTATGGAATTAGACTTGCTTCAGTAGGACAGTGGTGTTCACCAAGTCTGGCCCTGAGTGTCATTCATGGAGGTGATAGGGTTATATTCAAGCAAGTTCAAAACTGATCACTGGGTACCTCTAGCTCAGGAGCCTCCCAGGAGGTGCAAAGTCAATCACTGCCTGTGTCAATTGGGGCTATCCAGTGTGAGCTACAAAGCAATCTGAATATGGTTGCTACTTATGTTGGGCTTGGAGGTGCTTGGAGAGACAAAGCTATGAATCAAGGCAGGCTGCTGCTAGTGCCAGGCCTGAGACCACTTATTGAGAAGTACAGGGCACACTGAAGACAGCTGCTGTTTGTTTGAGAGGTTTTAGGAAAGTCCAAAGCATGAAGCAAGAGAAGCCAGTTGGATGAGCCTGTAAGTAGGAAGGAGCAGGGAATTTCCAGGATGGGGCAAAAAAATGTGTGCCAGGTTGATGGAGATTCAGATATGGTGCCCTGCTTGCCAGCTCTGTGGTGGGGAGGGCTCAGCAAATGAACAGTAACCTTTGCCAGCGCTTCTCTCTGGGAGAAAACCTCCCCTATAGCGCTCACCATGATTCCAAGCAAGTTAGATCCTCCCCAAAATGTCCCAGATTCCTTTCAAGCTGCTGTGCCAGCACTGGAACTCAGAGGAAGTCTGAGTAAATCCATGCACTGGCACTTTAAGAGGAATTACCTGGGTCTCCAGCAGCCTCCATGTCACACAGCCACAATATTCTAGTGTTTACAGCCCAAAGTTTTGGGGCCTTCTCTTCCTAGTACTGGAACCCTGGGCTGGGGGACCAGGTGTGGGGATGGAACCCCTCACTCAGGGAAACCTCCACATCCAAGATACATCTCCTCATTTTAAACTGCCACACAATGGATGTGGGACCAGCTGGTTCCATGATTCTGCCCCATGTCTCCGCCCCTCCTACCAGTCTCAATGTGCTTCTTCTTTAATTTCCTAGTTGTAGGACTTATGTTAAGATAGATTTCAGGTGGTTCTGAATGATGTTTGTTCTATATTTTAGTTGTAATTTTGATGTGGTTGTGGGAGGCATTTAACTATGTCGCCATCTTGACTGGAACTCCATTCTTATTTTAAAAGGATGAACATGAAAACATTTTCCTTAGCCCATGAAAAATATCATGAGTCCTCGGCACTGTACCTCTGGATCCTGACAAAACGGTTCATCCTTTGTTACCCTGGTCTAAGTCTGGCTTCCATCACTCATTAGCTGTGAGATTGGGGAGAGTTTATAAAAATGAGATAAATGAAGGTATAATAATATGGAGAAAAATATTCCCTGTTAGCAAGAAACTTGTTTGGTTGGGGAGAGACTTTGATACCCATCTTAGGTTGGGGTATGTGGTAGGAATAACACATTGTGCATTGGAGCTGATAGAGGAATTCGGAGACAGTCAAGAACAGAAATACTGAAGGGCAAATCTTACAAAAAGGCTTCTCTTCTTCATTTCCTTGGGATATCTTTAGTAACACTTCCATTTCTCTTTAAACATTCTGAGAGTTGAATCTATTTGGGAAGAATCGAAGGTGCTGAGTTTTGCTCCTAGGTGAGCCTGAGTGTAGAACAGAGTTACCTGGAAGTTCCTTAGTGAGCCTAGTGACCTGGGAGGTTCCTAGTTCAGTGCCCAATAAATTCTCTTTTAATATTAACAGCTCAGCACAGGATTGAAAGCTCATTTCTGCCTCACTTGCACCACCTATACTGTGTGTAACAAATACACTAACTAGCCTAGGTATTTATCTCAGGCAGCGGTCCAGTGGGGAATGATTTCATGCCTTCTCCCATAATGGATGTTTGTCAAGGTCTGGAGATATTTTTGGTTGTCACAACCGGTGGGAGTGTGCTACTGTCATCAAGTACATAGCAATTGTGGATGTTGCTAAACATTCTGCAATGCTCAGGACAGCCCTGACAACAGAAAACTGTCTGTGCCAAAATGTTCCTAGTGTCAAGTTCAGAAATCCTGATATGAGTCGTTTGTTTCTCTAATGACCACCCCCTGAAATAAAAAATGAGGGAGCACTCTATTCAGCAGACTCTAATTTAAAGAAAAAATACACAGCTCCTTCCTTCCCACTGTCTCAGATGAATTAACTAACTTTAATATATAGTATATATGTCCTGCAGAATAAATTGCTTTTTTCTCAGGACCGAAAAGCAAAGGCAATTTTTTTCCAGTCACAATATCCTAGCTGCAAGTTAGGCATCCAAGATTTCCATCTTCATCTAAGCTACCATTGCCCTCTGCTGGAGAAGTTTATGACTGCTGCTTTAAATACTGAGAATAATAATTGACCCTCGGTCATTTTAATTTAGCAAGTGTCTGGGCCACTAACTTTTCTTGAACTTGTGAGTGCCTACAAGGGGTGGGTTTATATTGATTTATGGGATAAATTTCTTTCTTATAAAATTTTAGGCATTTTTTATAATGATTAAATATTCCTCATCCTTCTCTATGAGCACAGAATTTATTCATGAAGCAGTATTAAAGCTTAATGATAGATACAAGTGAAGCAGATCCTAGGATGTTCTTTTGAAAAATTTGATTACTTAACAATTATAGAAAATTGGGGGGTGGGGGGGCGTGGAATATAGAAAAGTGATGCTCAAACTCTGAGCCATGCCGCCTGAAATAAAAAATGAGGGAGGCATGGCTCAGAGTTTGAACATCAACCTATGAACCTGGTGTTCACCGTTGGATTCCCCATCAAGGCACGTGCCCAGGTTGTGGACTTGATCTCCAGTAGGGAGCGTGCAGGAGGCAGCTGATCAATGATTCTCACTCATCATTGATGTTTCTCTCTTTCCCTTTCTGAAATCAGTAAAAATGTATTTTAAAAATAAAAATAATTTTTTTAAAAACGAAAAGTAAAGGAGGAAGAAAAAAAATATGTGCAGTCCCACTTCCAGAAGAAAAACCACAAAACTTTTTACATTTTGAATATTTTCTTCTAGTTCCTTTTCTAGGAACGTAAAGATGTTTTGTGTTTTTTTTTTTTAATGTTTTTATTGTTTGTTTTGCCTAGTTATTACAGGCTCTGGATAAAAATGTGTGTCCTGTATGCTTTTCTTTCCAAATATCATAATCATTTTCCCATGTTAGTATGAGCATTTTCTCTTACTGTGAGGAGCAGGGGGATGTGTCACCCAGACTCCCTTTCCAGGGGAGGACTTGGTGCCCCAACTGCGGCCTTTGGCTCCTGCGCCTCAGGGAGTGCCTCAGCTGGAGGGAGCCACTTGGACCAGGCTCATGGCCTTCCCAGCACAGCCCACATCCAGGGACTGGCAGAGGCAGTAGATGGCCCGGCCATTTAGCCCAGTGGGAAGAACTCGGTGGGCGCTGTTGGCTCTGGAGCTCCACAGGGGTTCCTCTGAAGTTGGCCTTCTGCTTCTGGCCAGTGCTGCTTCCCCTCTTATCTTCCATGGCGTTCATTGGAGGCTACTTCCTGAATACATCCCAAACTCACAAAAGTCCCTCTCACCATATGCTCCTATAGAGCATATCCTCTGTGCCTGTGACTTATTTTTTTAATGTAGTAATAGGTACATATTTTTAAAAAAAATTTGAACTGTACAAAAGGGGTTTCAGTGGAAGAGTAAGTCTCCCTTTAATCCTGACCCCACCACCCATTGTTATCCCCAGAGGCAAACACTGTTATCCATTCTGAGGGTATCTTAACAGGACTGGGCTCTACACACACAAACATGGATGCTGTGGTAGTTAATTTTATGTGTCCACTTGCCTGGATCACAGGATGTCCGCATAGCTAGATAAACATTATTTCCTAGGAGTGTGTTTCCAGAAGAGATTAGCATCGAATCAGTGAACTGAGTAAGGTGGGTGGCTCTCCCCAATGTGCATGGGCCTCATCTAATCTGTTAAGGGCCCGACTAGAACAAAATGCTGGATGGAAGGAGGACCCACTCATTCTCTGCCTGTCTATATGAACTGGAGCATTGATCTTCTGCCCTAGGGCCTCCACATCTGGACTGGAGTCAACATCACTGTGTCTCCGACTCTCAGCCTGGAAACTGCAACACTGGCTCTCCTGTGTCTCCAGCCTGCAGGCGGAAGGTCATGGGACTCTGCCTCCATAACTGCATGAGCAATTTCTTATAATAAAGCTCTTTCTAGAGATATTTATCCATCATCCGTCCTTCCACCCATCTATCCCACTATCCTATTGGTTCTGGTTTTCTGGAGAACCCTAATACAGATACATGTCACTTTATTATTTTTTTAAAATATATTTTATTGATTCTTTACAGAGAGGAAGAGAGACAAAGAGTTAGAAACAACGATGAGAGAGAATCATCAATCAGCTGCCTCTTGCACACCCCTTACTGGGGATGTGCCCACAACCAAGGTACATGCCCTTGACCAGAATTGAACCTGGGACCTTCCAGTCCACAGACCAACACTCTATCCACTGAGCCAAACCGGTTTTGGCTATTATTATTTTTTTTTTTTTTAACAATTCTGTATTTACAGAAGAGTTGCAAAAGTAATACAGAGTTCCCTTCTTTTCTTCATGCAGCTTCATCTATTAACATCTTGCAGCACCATATTCACCACAACTAAGAAATCAACAGTGTACAATACTGTGAATCAAATTACAAATTTAATTCAGATCTCACCATTTTCCAGTGCTTTCCTTTTTCTGGACAGTGTGGGGCCCCACTTTGCATGGAGCATATCACTTTTAGTGGCTTCGTGATATTCCCTCCAGCACATGTTCTAGAATTAACACACTTGTGTTGGACTCAAAGTAATTATGGTTTTTTTTTTTCAATACTAATATAAATAACATGCTGGTTCACAGTGTTTTGTTTTTATAACGTTTGTTCTCAGTTTCTGGTTCTTTTGTGAGAATATAGGGCATGGCGGTATTTTAAGAGTGTTGATGCCTGTACCAAATTTGCCTCCTAGAGTTGCCTGTTCACTCCAGGAACAGATCGTTGCACTTTCCCACCACCTCTTGTCAGCAGGATGACCTTTGATGTGACCTAAATAGGTACGTGCTGTTTCAGTCCCTTCTTCCAATTCTTAGGGCAATTTTCCACATCTCAGTCATATCCCATATAAGTCTGTTGAGTTCCAACTTATCTCTCGGACACATCCCTCATAAGGCCTCCTTTCTCCTGTCTAGGCTGGGTACTTTCCTGCCTCCAGCCCAACTGTCACCTGGGCTGTCATTTTGGGGACTCTCTTTGACCCAGAAAGTAGAACCTGAGCCCCAAACTGGCTTGTAGGTAGTTTATTAGGGAAAGTGAGGCTTGGGAGCAAGAGTAGGAGTATGAAACAGGAGGGGCTGAGACTGGTTTGGCTCAGTGGATAAAGCATCGGTCTGTGGACTGAAAGATCCCAGGTTCGATTCCGGTCAAGGGCATGTACATTGGTTGCGGGCACATCCCCAGTGGGGGATGTGCAGAGGCAGCTGGTCGATGTATCTCTCTCATCGATGTTTCTGGCTCTGTGTCCCTCTCCCTTCCTCTCTGTGAAAAAAAATAAATAAATAAATTAAAAAAAAAAAAAATATATATATATATATATATATATATATATATATATATTATTATTATTTTATTTTTATTTTTATTTTTTTAAGAAACAGGAGAGAAGGACATACAAGTGTGTTGTGGGAGTAAGAGAAACTGATTGTACTGGCCTCTGCCCTACCCCTGGGCTCCCAAGACCCTTGTCCTTTCCTCAGTGATAAGAGCATCAGAAGCATCTCTTGTTCTAATATTTGCTCTTTGACCTCAGTTTCTGACACAGATCTCTTAAATCCCTTGGTATTTTTTGGGTGATAATGTTATGGGAGTCCAGGGCAGGAGGAATAGGGAAACAGACAGAAAAGTTAAAACAAGGCCAAACAGTGTGGGCCATTTGCAACCAGCTTGTAACTAACAAGCCATTATCTTCCCCAGCTGAGGAGCCAAGAACAGATGGTTTAAAAACCTCCCTAGTGAGAGAATCTAGAAAGGGAGCAGGAGAGGGGAAAGGGGAAAAAAGAGGCAATTTTACTTCCTAAACAGAGAAGCTAGCAGACTCAAAGTCTGGCAAGATAAAGTGCCAGGTGCTTCTCATGAATTCTGAGGCCACAGCAAAATAAAGTAAAATAAAATAAAAAATAAATTAATTGAGAATTAATCTGTACCAAAATAGTCAGCAGAGGAATTTAGAGACCTATAGATGAAGCATAGTGGTCCCTCCTTTGAAAAAACTGCTGTTTGAAACTGCTATTTGAACTACTCTGTCATTCTTAGACAGTCTTTTATTTTGTAGGTCAACTCTGTTATTTTCAGACTGTAAAATAACTTTGTTTTTTGCTTGAATAAAAAAGATAAACTTAACTGATCTTGCAAGCTAGCCATCTAAAGGGGCTGATAGACTATATTAATTCACATATTCTGCCAAGTGTTTGTTCCTCCAAGGTTACAGGTGTTTGATTAGATATAATATGTATTCAAGGTTACAAGTTGTCTGTATAGATATCACAGGTAAGTTTGATTAGGTATAATGTGTATTCAAGGTTATAAGCTTTCTTATATGAAGAACCAGAAGAATATAAAAAGGAAAGACTCCCTCCTGTGTTGGTTCAGAATTTAACAGAGGAAATCTGCTCTGAACTTGCGCACAATAAAGATGACTCCTGACTAACTGGCTCATTAGGCGTCTTGTCCAGCTCACCGATTTGTGATACAACATAGACAGGAGGGTACATAATGCCTCGGACCCCCACCCAACCTGCTCTTCAGATTAGCTGAGAGCCCGTCTGCACTTCATAAACCACATGTATAGGTTTGTTTTTTCAATAAAGGCACAGGCTTAAATTGCTTTAATAAATTGGCCTTTCACAACATAGTCAAGGTCGCCTGTATAAATTTATTTATCTGAGAAGACTAGGATCACCGTTGGGAACAGCCCTCTCTCACTGACTCAGGGGGCGGTCTGGTAACACCTCTCTGTGTAGGTGAGAGGTGCCTATAACAATAGGAGTGTCTTTTGTTCTAATAAGGTTACTCTGGGATTCACTTCAAAATAGTTTGAGGTGGAAAGAGGGCAGATAATATAAGATTGGCCAGTATGATTGATAAATCATTGATAATTGTTAAAGCTGGGTAACGTGGACATGGTAGTTTATCACACATCCCCCCAACTTCTCCTTGTGTGAAATTGTTCACGATGAAAACCCTTTAAAAATATGCTATTCCAGGTTAGAGTCATATATCTGACGGTAGGAAGGAGGAGGAGGGCACATGCAGGCTGGCATTGATGCTAATGAATGGCAGGTGCTCCAGATGTCTGCAGATGCATGATTGTGTTAAGACAGTGCATTTGGAGGGGAAAGAAAACAGTCCATTAACAAAAGTGGTTGCCTTCTTTTCCCAATACCTGCTAGTTCCAGACTTTGCAAGCACACTTGTCAATCATGGTCAGAACATTTTGTCTTTAAGAAATAAGTCCTGCCAAAACCAGTTTGGCTCAGTGGATAAAGTGTCGGCCTGCGGACTGAAAGGTCCCGGGTTCGATTCTGATCAAGGGCATGTACCTTGGTTGCGGGCACATCCCCAGTAGGGGGTGTGCAAGAGGCAGCTGATTGATGATTCTCTCTCATCGATGTTTCTAACTCTCTATCCCTCTCTCTGTCTCTCTTCCTCTCTGTAAAAAATCAATAAAATACAAGCAGACTGTCAAATTACAGCAGGGGATGGTAAAGAGATCTGGGGGAGATAAGAGATCAACCGAAGGACTTGTATACAGGCATATAAGTACAACCAATGGACACAAAACTTTGGGGAGGGAGGGCATGTATGGGAGGAGGGGGCAATGGTAAGATATGTACACATATAATAATTTAATTTAAAAAATTAAATTATATTAAATTAAAAAATAAATAAATTAAAGAAAGAAAGAAGTCCTAGTGGTTATTTCACCCAGTTCTTCATAATTTATTTTAAAAAGAAACAGAGAGAATCAGCCTGAAATATGTCCTTAAAGGAATGGCGAGGCACAAGAAGATGAGGCATTCATTAAAGGCTGGCCATTTGTCTAAATTCTCTGTGTATGCCATAGCAGCTATCAGTACAGGAGGAGCATTTAAGTAGGATTACCTGAGCTATTTGCTGCTGCAAAGATGGATGGTTTCTGAGTGGAACCTCTTCTCACAGTGACCAGGCATGGTAATGAGTAAAATAATTGTCAGTGAGAATATCACCAGACCCCTAATGAGAAGCTGTTGACAGAAAAATTGCTCTGATGTTCATCAAAAAGCCAATAAATGTCAAAGAAGGAACTAGAGTTGCAGCAGCTCATAAATTCCTTCTCAAGGGGCCTCTTGAGGGGGCTTTTAGGACAACATACTTGCTCTTTTTCCTGACTGTTGCTAACTGCACGTCCAGGAAGCTTAGCACACTTCGGGGTGGCTAAGCCTGACGGTTTTGAAGGGATATCAATAGGGAGGCTACTCCAACTTTTGGTCAGAGGATCCTGTTTTTTGGTTTTGATCTTGGTTAGGTCTATAGTCTTGAATCTTTTCTAGTATATCTTACCTGTGTGATGTCACAGTTTGTGCTTAACTGAGAGTCAAAATCCCATCTGGCTGGAAAAGCCAAAGATTTACATAAAAGATCCCACTTACTCACCAAAGAGTCCAAATGGATTGTTCCTCTTAAGTCCCATAATACTATCTATGGTGTTCATTTAGAAACTAATCCTATTGTTTTATGGCAACAGGTCTTCTGTTAGTAAATCTTGTTTCCACTTTTTTATTAGGGGAGGTGATGTCCACTGGGTGGCTAATGTGAACCTGCCTCTTTTTAAATATATATATATATATTATTCAGAGGGAGAGATAGAAACATCTCTGATAAGAGAGAATCGGTGATTGGCTGCCTCCTGCTCATTCCCCAATGGGGATTGGGCCCACAACCATGGCATGTACCTTGACCGGGAATCAAACTGTGATCTCCTTGTCCATAGGTCGATGCTTAACCACTGAGCTATGCCAGCTGGGCTGAACCTAATTCTTGACTGAGTTTGGGTTCTTGCAGTGGCAGATACCAAATCAAGGACTGTGTGAACTTTGTGTACCTGGAAAGTGACCCCAGGAAGCACAAGTGAGATCATGGGCCAAGGTCAGGCAGGGAAGGAGAAAAACCAATGAGGTTTGCATTAACTAGCAAGTCAGTCTGTGAGCAACGAGGCTCAACCCTGCTGGGCCTTCTCAGAAAACACATCTCAGAATTGTTCCCTCCAATGATGCAAGGCTGGGCATTTATCCATGGACTCGTGTCTGTTATTGCTTGAGGAGTGTCCCTGGAGGACCAATCTCCCTCTACTTCTAGGTTGACCTTTTGAAGGCTGAGCAAGCTCCTAGATGTCAAAAATCACCCTCAGAGAGGGTGACAAAGGTGCTTGAGGGTGTGACTTAGGCTTCTCAAGCTGCTATAATAAAATACCACAGATTGGGAGGCTGAAACAGAACTTTACTTTCTCTGAGTTTTGAAGGCTGAAAGTCTAAGATCGAGGTGTGGCAGGATTGGTTTCTCCTGAGGTCTCTTTCCTTGGCCTGCAGATAGCCACCTTCTCTCTGTCCCCACATGGCCTTTCTGTGCAACACATCCTAGTATCTCTCTCCCCCTTCTTATAAGGACACTGTTTTTTGTTTGTTAGTTTGTCTGTTTTGTTTTGTTTTTTAAATATATTTTATTGATTTTTTTCAGAGAGGAAGGGAGAGGGAGAGAGAGCCAGAAACATCAATGAGAGAGAAACATCAATCAGCTGCCTCCTGCAACCCAACTACTGAGAATGTGTCCACAACCAAGGTACATGCCCTTGACCGGAATAGAACCTGGGACCTTTCAGTCCACAGGCTGATACTCTATCTACTGAGCCAAGGTTTCAGCAAGGACACTGTTCTTATTGGATTAGGGTTCCATCCTCATTTAACCTCATTACTTCTTTAGAGGTCCTTTCTCCAAATACAGTCACAGTAGGGGGGGGGGGGGGCAGGAGCGACCTAGGTCTCCATCTTATGAATTTTGAGGGAACGTAAATTCAGTCCATAATATGTGGAAGCTCTTACCTATGGAAATTGCTCAGACAATTGCAGGTGAAAGGGAAATGGGTCATCAGCAACATTGCTCCATATGTCTAGTTCCGTTTAATCCTCCCAACTACTTGGAGGTGTGCACTTGTACAGTTCAGACCTTCCATCGGCCACACTTTGGAAATACTCTTAGCACTGTGGATTTTCAGAGGAAGGAGAGAGGTGAGGGGGCTGGCTGAGTAATGCACCCAAATAAAGGGTAGCTGCCAATTTTGATAGATATCTGCCTCCTGTAGGGTCTTCCTAGCCATGACATCAGAAGGTTCAGGTGTGGCTTGAAAACCTCTGTGTATGCTACATATTTCTTGTTCTCAAATATAATAAGGTATTTTCAATGTAAAAATAGAATGCTCATATTACTCATTCATAAAAGAGCATTTTCTACAAACAAAAGTTTCCTGTTTCAAGTTTCAGGCAAGTTTCCCAAACCAGTATTATTGAAGAGGAAGTGTCCCGTCGGGCCATTTTTATGACCAGGCATCTGAGCGCTGAAAGTGGTTAGTTAGATCACCTGCACATGGTGACACAACTAGTTGATGGCAAACCTGGGACTAAGTGCCCTTTGTGTTCCCATTTGCAAGTTTCCGAATCCTGTTTGGGAAGGAAAACAGTTCGCGTGGCTGTGCCATTTCCGACTGGCTGCCATTGAGCACGGGCAGTCTTTCTCTCCAGGCCTCAGTGTGGTAGTCGCGTTGGGAGGAATCTAATGTGGTAGTCAGGAGCACAGGCTTCAGAACCATACAGATCCAAGCCCTCCTTGGTGGCCGATGCCCTCACCCTCTGAACTCCTGGATGGCAGGGGGACAGGAAGAGCTACTTCATTGCCTGATAGTTCTTTTCCATAAAGTTAATCAGTCATTCACTCCATTTCTTTATATTTTAAAGCTACCTAGAGCCAGCCTTTGGAATGGTGTCTTGTCCAGGTGAGCAGGAGTGAACACCTGTTTCACAGACCTTCCAGCCCCTGTACTGCTGGAGTTGATGACTATTGGGATGAGCTCAGCAAAGCTCCCTGAGAAGTAAAATGGCACAGGGAAAGACAAATATACTAGACTTTCCAGAGGCAAATCATGACATGTTAGCAGAAAATGTTCATTCTATGTCCCAGTGGAAGGAACCTGATACATATTAACCCAAAATTTATATTAGCCTTGGGGTTAATTATATGACATCAGAAGGTAGGTAGCAGACTTTCATTCTGGATTATTTATGCACAAGAGACTATTAAGTTTTATAGCTAGTCTCTGAGGGCACATCAGTTCACAGGCTGGGAAGGCAGCCCAGAGGCCCCAGGATTTCATGGTTTGAGAGTATCGTGTGACTCACAGACACTGGGAAGTTGTTAACCTTTGCTTTTCATTTGCCAAATGTGTGAGAAGGCTTTGTTACTTTCTCCAATGCACAGAGAGTTTATAACACCTTCTCCTCTACACTGTGTGAGCTGGCACTGGCAAACAGTGAGTGCCACAGCAGGCCCCTGGAGAGAGGGTGCAGTAGGGACCCCACTGACTGCACTGTCTGGCAGATCTATCCTTCACCACCTACTTCAGAACTGCAACCAGCTCTTTATTAATTTTATAGGAACACTCCATTTGGCTGAAACCAGTTTGGCTCAATGGATAGAGCGTCGGCTTGGGGACTGAGGGGTCCCGGATTCGATTCCGGTCAAGGGCATGTACATTGGTTGCGGGCACATCCCCAGTGGGAGGTGTGCAGGAGGCAGCTGATTGATGACTCTCTCTCATTGATGTTTCTAACTCTCTATCTCCCTTCCTCTCTGTACAAAATCAATAAAATATTTTTTTTTTAAAAGAAGAAAAAAAAAGAAAAACTCCATTTGTGGTCTGCCAATAACTCAAATCCGATGTCGCCTGCACTCTGGCAGAGTTCTGCAGCAAGGAGCGCCTGGTCTGTTTGGGTTGGAAAGCTGCCATGGAGCCGGAGAGCCACTTCTTCGGGCTGGCCTCCCAGTAAGGCAGTGTGGCCAGGAGAAAGCATCGATGGCTTCACCAGGCAGATAGAGTTTAGACCCCTCACTGTACTCAGTGTCAGCTGTTTGATCTGGGACCATGTGGGCCTCAGCTATTCACGTGTTTGGTGGAGATCACGTTAGGTCCTGCTCCCTGAGTGTAGTAAGGACTGAAGAAGAATGTAGCATGTCATGTGTCCAGCAGATGGTAGTTCTAATGATGTTTTCGCTCAGGAGGGGCACTCTTAGAACAATCTCTTCCTTTCTAAGATAAACTCTTTTATTAACCTTTCTAAACTTGTTTAAAAAAACTACACAAATACATGCCAATCTGAATAGAAACCTGTGAAACCACTATAGGACATCATACCAAGAAATGCTTGCCCTGAGCGAGAACCACTGGCTAGAGACACATGGTTCTCATTTTTGGTTGGTACTAACCACATTTAGGACCACATTCTACTCTTAGGTAAAATAAACTGGGCAAGCTTGAGGACAGGAGATTTAGACATTTCTTGGCCAGGCTGAAAACAGAAGCCAGAAAGTAGCATATATAAGTCCTAAACCAAGCCCTTGCTCAGGTTGGGGACTCAACTGCCCGATGCTACTGTGGATTCTCACCAGCAGCTGAGCAGAGTTTGGAAGCATGTCCATAGCAGGTGATCTTTAGTGGGAAAGACATGTGTTCTGCATCCTTCCCACCTATCCTGATGTTTTTATCCTCAGGCTGTACCCAGGGTTCCCGTTTCATAGTAGCTCCAATGGCCATGACATTCACTACAAAAAAGTCAGGCACCTACTCAGTGTCCATAGTACAAAGAAAGAATTCATTTATTTTTTTTTCCACCTCAAACAGCTTATATTCTGGTTAAAAAGATAAAATGCCAGACTCTCTAAATATTTAGTATTTTAAAGTAGTCACAAACGATTATTCCAAAGCCATGGGCATGTTTCTTTCTCAATAGAACCAAGATGTGAAATGTGGAGAACACCTCATAGAGCTTGGAAACAGTTTGTATGTCTGGGCAAACAGAACTACTGACAGGAGAAGCAGGTTGGCATTTTTCTTTCATGCTTCATTTTATCGTCACCTTCTCCCATGTCAGTGTGGTCCCACACTTACGGTCCCGTGAAGAAGTGTATAAAATTCCAGGCTTACTACCGCAGCTGACCCAGCATAGGTGCTCACCACTCTTAAATTAAAATTAGTTTTTCCTTTGAGTCTCCGTTTCATCCTTTCCCCATGGAACCATGGCTTTGAATACAGACCCCATGCAGTGGGACCATGACTATTGTACAGAAGCAGTCTGTCTGCTGTTCTTGATATTAGGCAGCAGTGGAGGGGGGAGAGGGGAGAGGAGCATCCTGAGAGCTGCTCACTGGGTCACACTCCCTCCATCCCTCTAAAATGGCCGACTCAGTGTGACCAGACGGGCTTTCTCTTCTGGATGAAGGCCTTGATTCCCTCCTGCCCATCTTGCAAGGCCACATTGTCCACCATGGTCTGGGAGGCCAGGTGGTAGGCGGTTCTAAGGTCCTGGTGCACTTGCTTGTAGAAGGCGGCCTTGCCCAGAGACACCACAGGACGGCTCAAGGAAGCGATCTTTCTTGCGATTCTCATGGTCTCTTCCTCCAGCTGATCTGCCAGCACTACTCTACTGAGCAGCCCATGGAGCAAGGCCTCCTGAGCAGATATGGGCTCCCCAGTAAAAAGCATTTCTAAGGCAACCTGGGGGAGGAAACACGGGCAGTTATTAAGGCACTCTACTCCTGACCCCCTGCCACCTGAGTCCCACCCTCTCCATTTCACTCTGCTGAGATGGTTGATGTCCTGACTTCCTGACAATCTGGGCCAATTCTCAGGAACAGATTGGATCTTTCCAGGAGCCAGGAGAAGGAAGGACCCTCCATGTCCTCCTGTTCCTTCCTCAAGCTGAACTCCCAGCCCTGCAGAGGCAGGAGATTTGAGCTGCCTCTTTCAAGAGTCACGCACAGGACAGCGGACAGTGGCTGCATCTGATGGTATGAAACTAAAAACATCCATTGTCTGGCACAAGCCAGTGCAGTGGTTACTTTCCAGAATAAAGGGATGTTCATAGAAGCCACCACCTCAGCCTGAGTTGAAAGAGCAGCCTCGTCTCCCAGAGAAGGAGGGGAATAAAAGGAAATGCCTTCTAGGGACAGATGGAGGCGTCCAGCATGATGTTAACTTATAAGGAAGGAATGCTCTCTTTCCACAATCCTCTCCCCTCAGATTTCCGAGGCCCGCAGAAAGGGGGAGTACACATTTCTCATTCTATAAAGAGTCCTCAGTTCTGTCCGCCTGCCATACTGTGCCTCAATTCTGTAATTCTAAAAGGCTGAGCTTCTTGAAACTAAAATGTATGATTTAGAAAAAGTGTTTCCAGATACACAAGACATACAGTGCCTCTCCTATCCCTCTCCCCTTGCTCGCTCTCCTGCAGCCCAGCTGGATCTTTGCTGTTCCTTGAACACACCAAGTGTGCTGTCACCTCAGTCCTATACTTGCAGTTTCCTTGGTTTGCAATGCTGTGTCCCCACAAAGCCTCAGGGCCTGTTCCCTGGTCTCCTTCAGGTCTCTGCTCACCTGTCACCTCATCAGTGAGGTACTCCATGACCATACCAGCCTAATACAATTGCAATCCTACCTCAGCACTACCTCATTTCTGGCTGTATTTTAATCCTTTGTACTCATCCTTTAATTCTTTGTAATCCTCATCATTTAACAAACTATATACAGGGTAGCATCTCTGGCCTCTGTCCACTGGGTGCCAGTTTGTGGTGATCAGAAAAAGCTACAGGCATTGCCAAATGTCTCCAGGGTCAAAATTGCTCTTAGTTTATTTTATTTATTTACTTTTTAATTGCTCCTAAAGGAAGAAAGGGAGAGATGGGGAAGAGGGAGAGAAAGAGAAACATCAATGTGAGAGAAGCATTGATCCGTTGTCTCCCAACAAGGGATCAAACCTGGGGATGTGCCCTGAATGGGAATGAATTTGCCGCCTCTGGTGCACAGGACTCTTAACAGTTAGAGTTTAACTGAACCACACAGGCCAGGACAACCTCCAGTTTAGAACTACTGATTTAGATGGTTTCTAAAATCATGAGACTAGATTATGCTTCTGCTATCCTGGCACTTCTCTGTCCGGGAGACCAAGGAGGTCTTAATGAAATTAAAGCTGCTCGTGAAAGACATTTTGACTGGAATAGGGTCAAAAATAGAGTTCCTGGCCTACCTTTAGCTTCCTAAGTCACCCACGCCTAGCTTATGCCTCTTTCTGGGCTTCAGTTTCCTCACCTGCCTAGTGGGGCAATACTGTTTGGCACTGTGTTGATTTATGGGGACTTTATGCAAGCAGATTAGGTGATGGAGTGGCATTCCCTAAAGAAAAGAAAACCTGTTTATTTTATAGTGCACAAGCAACAATCTTTACTTGGGCCCCTGAAACCTGAGGTGAGAGAGAAGAAAATACCTCCTAATAAACTCTTGTTCATTTTAGGGTTACTTTTTGGGTCCCCCTAACAAGTTGGTGATTTACTACTTCTCCTCCCAGGCTATTTGCATTAAAAACAATAAAAAGGACTGGAGCCCAGGCTTACTCACAGGGTGGTTGGACTTGTGTCTGGATGTCCTTGAGGCCATTTACTAAACACAGACCTTAAGGGAACAATTTAACCCATCTGAGTCTGTTCCCTTATCTGAAAAACAGGAATAAGACCACCATCCTCCTGCAGAATTGTCAAGGTTAGAGACAATGTATACAGCTTATACTACAGTCCTGGGCACTCAGTAGCACCCAATAAGTGCGATGGCTATTATTCACATGCTTATTCCAGCTATAACCATGTCTGAATCTCTATCTGTGTTTTAGGAATATGGCCCCAGAAAGCAGAGCAGTCTTCCAGATCCCCTCTAGTCACACAGATGACAAGATCCAGCTGGTGGCAGTGGAGGGGCTGGGATGCTGGAGGACTCAGAGGTGAATGAAGCTGACAAGATCACTAGGCTAATTTCATTGGCTGGGATGCATGAGAAATAAGTAAATTTGGGTGCTGAGCATGTTCTCAGAGGCACTAAGGCGCCTCTGACAGCCACAGGAATCACTGATAGAGCATGGATTTGATGCAGTTGATCTGAGGGCTGAGACCTGCATTTCTCCAGGCTCTGGTGAACTGCACACCAGCTGAGGGTCAATGCCTTTACTCTCCTTTTAGCTTGGAAGTTCTAATTAGACAACTGAGAAATCAGATTCTGCAGATACATAAGTTACCGTAGGTAAACAGGTGGCAGCAAGTGTTCCTACAGCAGAGAAATGACTGGTTTGGAAGAAGGGGGTTTGTATCTTTCATGTGCTCCACAGGGGTACCACCCGCTGAGGCACCGGATCCACATTTTTGAACAAGGCCACATATGGGTCACCAGTACCCTCTGAGAGGCTAAGGGAGCAGCTGCACCAGGCACATTGTTTATATGGTGCAGTGAAGCTACCTTATTTAACTCACACCAGAGGAGAGAAACACTTTACAATCGTGGAAAATTATCCATGCCCAGGCTCAGCCTGGCTGAACACAAGTGCTCCATGCCATCATTTCTGCTCCCAGTAGAGGAGCTGCAGCCCTGGGTCTCTGTTACAGCTAAACAGTTTTCCATGATGGCCAGCAGAGGGTAGTGGTGAACATGTAAGCTGCCTGAAAAGAGCCAAGTTTCCCAATTAGGTCAGTTTGCAAAAGCGCTGCTTGCTACCCTGTGGATGTGCATGGGGATACGTGCCCAACCTCCCCAAAGTTTACAGGCCTGTATATGGAATGTGTTCCTGTGGGTGCAATCAAGCAATGACAACAGGTAGGTGTGTTTTGTTCAGGTCTAGATCTTTATGAATCCCCAGTTTTCCTCCCAAAGGTGCCCACCCAGGGTAAAATCTACCGTCCTGAAACCTGGCAAAGGCTTTGAGTGCCAACAGGCTTTTCACCCCACTAAATCCCCTTTATCACCTCTGGGATTTCAGCTCATTAATCCAAAACCATATTTCTGCCTTATGCCTCCAAATAGCCCCACATGCAGGGAGACCTGTTACAATTGGAAAAGCTCTGAAGATTTCAAAATAAGAACGCTACCCCTGACTAGTGATTCAGAGGCCTCCTGGGATCAGGATAGGAGGAGCACAGAGCAGGGATCTGAAAGGAACAATACTGGAGATCCTCTCCCTTCTTCTGAGTGGGCCTGGCACTGCCAGAACTTTCTGTGGGAGGCCAAAGTTACTTTGGTCTTACAACATCCTGCCCCTTAACCTCTCATGCTAGACAATCACGCAACGAGGTTCTGAGAATTGGGCTCTGTGGGAACTTAAGTCCTGTTTTTGCCACATTTTCCTTCTCTTTCTTCTCAAAAAGTAATTTAAATTTGACAAATATGATATAATGTTTACATTTTTAGAACTCAATTCTAAGCTTTGATTTTTAAAAGTTTGTTTTAAGAGAGAATGGATTCTTATCCTGACAGGATAATCATAATTTAAAGGTGTCAAATGCCTTAACATGGTTGATGATGAACAGCTGCAGATGAGCTAACCAGAAAACCACCCTTTAGTATGCAAAAGGCCTTGTGAGCTGATTTGCACAATTATAAGATAGTTTATTAATAAGCTCTGACAATGTTTTTAATGAATGCATTTTAATTTAATGTACTGGCACAAAGTAGGAAACACACACACACACACACACACACACACACACACACACCACATTTAAAGTCCATGTGTATCCTGACAGGATGAAACCACCCCCTTGGGCTGAGCACATTTCAGAAGCTCTGTGTTTGAACAGGCCACTTTATGTAGTTGTGGAGCCCATGTTCAGCCAGTTTTCATGTGTGTGTGTGCTGGTAGGTATCTCTATTCAGAACATCTGCAAAAGCACACACCTCTGTAAAAACTAATGAAGAGACATCGTGAAAGAAAGGAGTGCTTCCCTAAATGTTTCTGAGCCTATGACCTGATTTCGCTTGGGTCTCATTTCTTTTGTGCCTCAGTCATCTGAAGAGCTGCTGACTTTTGTAGTAGATGCTAAATGGACATGATATCCTAGAAAGCAATTTAGTTTCCTACTTGCTATGGTATACAAGACCACCCCACTACCCATTTTTTAAAAGAGATTTCCCATTGAGAATGAAAATATATATATTTTTCAGAACAAGGAAGCCACTGGTTTCTACTCACAAGATATTCAATAAATATTGTTTTATGCCTTATAGGAAGGGAGAAAGCTTTGTAAAGAAAATGGATTTAGCAAGGACAAAACAATATTTACAATATGGCTCCTGAGGCAGCCTCAACATGCTGAGCTCAAGATGTTAAAAAAAAAAAAAAAGAAAAAAAAAAAAAAAGAAAAAAAAGATGTTCCATGCTTCTAAAATACAACTATCGTAAAGCTGAAACACTCATGATAGCAGCTATTCCAGTCTGTTCTAGAATACGACACGCTGACAGCAAACAATCAGCCAGTGACACTCATATCCTAGCCTCTTGGTAATGCCATGTCACCATGCTATTACATGTTATGGACAACCTTTTGAGTGCAACAAAACTGTCTTCAACTGCATTTCAAATAAGATTATAAAAAATGTGTGCCTTTATGAAAACAAACAAAAAAATCCAAAACCATAACTAACAACATAGAGGGACAGGCAACAGCGAAATGCATGATTCATGAAGTAAAGTGAAAAGCAGGCACCTCTGAGAAGCTACACATTCCCCCCTAAACAAGAGGTCTTAGAAGGAAGCCTGCAGCGCATCCAGCCAGCTATGCTTCATGCAGAACATCCTGATTCAAATGGTACTTTAACAAGTGAATTTGGAGCCAACCCTCCAGTGCATGTGAGGGTTACAACTAGAGAGGAGGCTGCAGGGGTCAGATTACCTTTCTTGGCACTGCTCTCCCCAAGGCCACTCCAGGGGTGGAGAAGAAGAGCCCAATGTTTACACCTGGAGTGGCAAATGAGGATTTGTCACTGGCCACGGCAATGTCACAGCTGGCAACCAGCTGACATCCAGCAGCGGTGGCCAAGCCGTTCACCATGGCAATCACGGGGACGGGATGATTCTGGATCAGCATCATGACCTGAAGGAGCACACATAACCAGTTCACATCCATCCAAGAGTGAGGTGCAACATTAATGCTATTTCATGTGACTTTGCTTCAGAGCTTTTCATCCCCATTAGTGCATCAGATTTTAGGGAAAAGGACAGAAGCAGGCACAGAGAGAACCTGAATTGAATACTGACGGTGGACCAGATTGTGCCGTTTGACTCCTGAGAAACCCAGGAGGAAGGAACACTAAGTTACAATTGAGACACAAGGCTCAGGGGAAGGAATTGGCCTAAGGCCACAGACCCACAAGTGGTGGCTGTGGGGTCTGAATGCACACATCTATCTGACTCCCAGGCCCTGGCCTCTTCGAGGTTGCAGTCCCCTCCTCTGCAGCTGCTTCCTCAGCAGCCCTGCATAAGAACCAAGCTGATTCTCTCTGCGGAACAAATAGTTCTGTTCTCACTGAGCTATGTGGAGCTCTAGTGTTAAAGGTCTGAAACTGGTATTTGGAATTTCCTTAAAAATTTAAGATGGAAAAGGGATTGGAAGGCAATTTCTCTAGTAATTTTCAAATTATCACCATGAATGTTCTCTAAGTTGTTTTTAAAAAGTGGGGAACAACCCACTGTCCTCTAAATAAATAAAAGCCTAGGCTATGTTGCTCAGTGGCTGAGTATGCACCTATGAACCAGGAGGTCATGATTGAATTCCCATTCAGAGCACATGACTGGGTTGTAAGCTTGATCCCCAGTGCGGGGTGTGCAGGAGGCAGCCAAATGATTCACACTCATCATTGATGTTACTATTTCCCTCTCCCTCTCCCTTTATCTCTGAAATCAATAAAAGCTTATTTTTAAAAATAATAATCCTAATATATAAAAAGAGAGGGGCCATCAGGACTGAAACAACCACACAGAAGACTGAGCAGCTGGGTGCATGGGGCAACAAGGCCGGCAAGGGGATTAGTGAAGGATGACCAAACGACTGAACAGAGGGCTATGTGGAGGGACCAGGCTGGCAGGGAGGCAGTAATGGGCAACCAGGCCAGCGGGGGGCAGGGGGCAGCAGTTAGAGGCGACCAGTCTGGTGGGGTGAGGGGGACAGTTAGGGGTGATCTGGCAGGCAGGCAGGTGAGCAGTTAGGAGCCAGTGATCCCAGATTGTGAGAGGTTATGTCCAAGGGGTCCCAGATTGGAAAGGGTGCAGTCTGGGCTGAGGGGACCCTATCCCATGCACCAGGCCTCTAGTAATAAATAAAATTCCTAAAACAGTGCTATTGGTAGAGAGAAGCCAAAACGTGCTCATGTGATACCTAGTTCCCGTCATAAGTCTCCAGAACTTTAACTTATTTTTGCAGCTTTTGAAAAAATTTGATTTATTTCTCCACTTCTTGAAGACACGCTATACAGATTGAGTTGCTGTGCTAACTTCCATTTATAAATGGTTGCTCTTTGAACCCTGGCAGGAAAGCAGGAGGCAGAGAGGAGCTTCATCTGGGCTTTCCTACCATGATGGCAACTCAAAGAAAGATCACCTTCATTGATTTTGCCCAAGGAACTTACCTTTGTCTTTATAAGCATTTGGTATTTGTCAGCTTTTCTATAACATAGCTAATTATATTTTTAAGGATATGCTGTCATGTTCTATAGGAGTGGCTCTTGACTTTTTTGGGAGGGTGGTCATCTTTGAGAATCTAAGTACTAGTGACCCTTTTCATAGAAGAATGTATTTTTAAGTACCAAGCCATGCATGGATTATGGGGTTCATATATTCTAAGTGAGAATGGGATGGTTAATGATAGAGCTCATTCATAGTGAAGTACAGTAACAAGGAGAAGAACACACAAGAAACTCAAATCTTACTGAAAAGAAAGACAAATTTCATTTTAGCTGTGCATGTCACTTGTCACTTAATAAACTTCAGTTACTTACGAAAAGTCAACAGACTGTGATTAATGTTGAACAGTTTATCTCTTGTCTGCCACCTACAAAAGGCTAGGATTTCATGCTACCTGGTGGGAAAATATTTAGGTAATCCATTATATATCAACAACATTAAAAATATTCATCTATTTGATCTAGGAATTGTAGTAACAAGAAACCATCTGGAAGGATAAGAAGCGACTGGACAAAGATGTTCACCAAATCATCACTATATAGTAATAAAATCTAAATGAATAAGTACATAAAAATAAGGAAATGGCTATGTTAACTAAACTATATTCATTTCATGGAATATTGCATTCCCATTAAAATGAAATTTTCCAAGAGAAATATCAGTATGGTAGTCTGCACATTGTGTAATGGAGCCAGCTGCTGCGGTTTAATGCCCAGTCTATCACTCACTCAATGCCTAACACTCAGTCTTCACATCTGTAAAATGGATGTAATAATAATACCAACTTACAGAACATGACAATTACATAAATTAATATGTCTAAAGTACTCAAATGATTACCTGGAACCTCAGAAACATTCAATATTATATAATTACACAGTATAATCATTTCTATGTATGATTATTCAGAAAATATGTTCATGTGGAAAAATTATTAAAAAGAAATGTGTAAGGTTTGAGGCGCAGGAAACTGACCACCAAGATATTTAAAGTAAAGTTTATTCCCTAGTAATGAGCGGGACTCATTACGGAGGTAGAGAAATCAGAATTGAAGGAGTTGGGAGGGGGGATGGACCCAGCTGGGCTGCCACCTGGACATGGATGATCAGCAGCACATGACTGGTTTGGGGGTCTTTTTAAGGGGAGGAACAGAAGAGGGTTGGACCCAGGGCAGAACAGGAAGGGATGGGCTCCAGGACACTTTGGCAGGTGCTGATTGATGGCTCAATGTCTTGGAGATGTCTCTGTGACAGATGCCAGTAATATCATAACTCCGCCCACCAGTTGGGAGGAGGAAGAACCTTATATTCCAGACTCTTTGATTATATTTTAAAAAATTGAAAGTCTGGGCAGGATTCAGGGCTTTGCAGACGCTTGCATCAGCTCTGGGCTTTCCCCCCTGCCTCCCGGCCTCTTGGTGATATAGGGCGGCGAAATCTTCTAACTGCTTCTTGCTGACCAGGGAGCGAAGAGAGTAGGGGGTGTCAGAGGCCAGGGTCAGCAGAGGCGGGTTGAAGGGCAGCCGAGTGTAAGGATGGAGCAGGAGCTGGTTTACAGTCACCTGAGACATTTCAGCCATCCAGGAGCAGATGAATTTGAGGGGGCAGGGATCTAGGGAAAAAAAGACACAGATTAGAATTAGGGGCCTTAACAGGGGTAGAATCTAGGTAGCTAAAGGGCTTTGGAGCCAGCTGAAAAGTGAGTTGTCCTGCAAGTGTCTTGCACATAACTCTTCATTCAGTTTAGGGTCTGCATGTTCTGTTCCACCACTCCAGATTCGCTGATGTAGTAGCATCATTCTTCCTGAAGGAACATGCAGGTTCCTCATCTTTCCGCAGTAAGAAGGTCTAGGGCCCTTAGGTTCTGCAGGACTATTTGGGCTACTGATGTTACTTTCCGCTGCAGGGAAGCTAAGGAGATAATGGTAGACTCCTGGGCTATCTGGAGTTTGTCACTGAAATCCTGAGCAGAGATTATGCTGTTACCCAGGACCCCCCCAACTAGGCCTATTGAGGCAGCTATACTTACCCCCAACGTAACAGGGAGGAAGGCGGCCAGGCAGTGGGATGAAGGGAGCAACCAGGCGAGCTCCGACTCTCCATACAAGGTTAGTTGGGGAACTACTGTGACCACGAAGCAAGGCCCGGGGTCAGAGGAGTTTATGCAGCTGTTTACGGTGCCGTTGCACCAAAAGAAGGTGCCCGGGCTGGCCTTGGTGGGACTGACTCTGGTGTGGCTTTGGGTTCCAGGTGACCCGTCCCCCAGTTACCGGGTTGCTGGTCTGGTAGAATACCTGTGGGGGCAAGGTGGGTTCCGGAGTTTTGGGTTCCCAGAGGGGAATGCCAGCCAAGGGAGGCTGACATTCACCATGTCCTTGGGTTCCTGGAGGAGTCATGAGTGGGACGGCAACCAGCAAAGATCTTTGGAGAGAGACACATAAAAAGCAGTGTGAGACATTGGGCAGGATGCGGGTCTCATTAAGGAATAGTAAAGTATGTTGGATAAATTGGAGCCAAGAAGACAGGACTTCTACCCAGGGGGAATCAGGCAGCTTCCCTTTGAAGGACTGTTCAGCCTGTAGGATGCTATTGGAGACCTGGATTTGGACCTCCTGGGCCATGACATACTCCAGGGAGATGTAGATGGTCCCTGAAGGGGTCAAGCTCCAACCATTCCAATACAGTTTTCCCATAACTCCCGCAGCCCATCGCTGGTTCCAGGAGTCCCAGACCCTGATGTTGAAGGTCCCATCCTTCCAGAAAAAGGGGCCAGACCTAACCTCTTTGTAGGCATCATGGATGACACAACCTGACCAGCAGGAACCCCCATAGGTGTTGACATGTCGATTACACCTGTCTGGGTTCCACTGGTCGTAAGCAGAGCAGGCATATGGTCAGCCACTGTTGGACATGGAGGTTGACAGCAATCAGGATCTCTGCCTGGCATCCAACCAGAGATAGTCCTGAGATCCTACCTGCCGGGTGACGCGGGTGCTGTCTTTGTCATAGGTTTCACGGAGGTTGCCCAGGGCTGGGAGGAGAAGGAGGGGGAGGGCGACTAAGGTGGGCCTTGGAGGGGCCCAACACCTCACATTTATAGAAGTGATGCTGCTCCGGGGTCCTCTTGAGTCTGGAGAGGTGATGCCACGATGGATCGCCAAGTAGTCTGGCTGCGGTGGGGGGAACTGAGTTCCCGGCCTGGAGGGGTGGTCCTCGGAAGGCTTGGTCAGCTGGTTCTGGCCTGGGCAGGAACCTGTCAGCATGTTCCTGGAGCAGCTGCCTGGGGTGGGGCAGCTGCACACCTGGAGCAGGAAGAGAGGCACTCAGGCCACCTGAAAACCTTGGAGCTGAAGTGCTTTGCTGCAGTTTGGGTGGAGGCAGCAGGAAGGAGAGTGGCTGGGTTCAGGGCTGGGTACTGGGTTAGGGAGCCATGAGGACTCTGGAGGAACAGGAGATGGAGTTCCTGCATGTGAGAGGGGCAAGGAGAGATCAGGATAGATGTGACAGAAGATCCTGTAGACTATGATGGAGAGCACCTGTAAGGGTAGCTGGAGGCAGATCTTCTGGGCCTCCTTGAGGAGAACAGCAGCTGCAGCCAGAGCCCAGAGGCAGGGCTGCAGTCCCTAAACTGTAGGATCAAGCTGTAAGTGCAGGTAGGCTATGGGGGTGAAGGCTGGCCATAGGGGCTGGGTGAGGACCCCAATGATGGAAAAACGTTACCAGTGGAGGCCAGCTGTATGTCTCTGAGACTTGTAGTGCTGGGAAGGTCTCTGGGTAAGGCGTGGCCAAAGGGATGACTTTCTGAACCCTTGGGGCAGGATTGTCCAGGTGAATGGGTCCTGTAAAAATTCTTGTAAACAGTTAACTTTAAAATTCCTTTCCTTTTTTTCCCATTACTGTATGCAATTGAAGACATTTAGAAAAGGCAGGAGGAGGGAACAGGTGCTGAGGACAGAACATTTTTGCCAGTCCATACCCAGGAAAGAGATCCTGGCTGAAATGATGGTCCGGAAAGGGGGGAGAGGGTAAAGATAGGTATCCCAAGCGGATACCAGGAAGGAGACCTGCACACCCTTACCATGAGCTTCACCCAAGGCTTTCAGTGGGGGTGGCGGTGTGGTGTTGAGTCCAGGGATATGGTGGTCAGCGGCAGGTCATGACCTGGAAGGACAGCCCTTCCACGCGGAGACGTAGAAGGCCTGTCGCTTTTCCAGGGACTGCTTTTCCAGTGGCCGCTTTGACTACAGGCAGGGCAGGGCTTGATCTGAGTACGGGGTTGTAGGCATCATTTAGCCCAGGGACCTTTATTTCCACAGTTGAAGCATCCTCCAGGTGGCGCTCGTCCTCTCGTTGCACTCCCACCACACACAGTTGTGTGTGGCTGCTATTGGCCCCAGGGTAGCAAGCAAAGGTGTGGGTTTTTGCAGACTCACGTCCTGTAGAAGGCAGGTTTACGCTGCCCTGCTTCTCACGAGCATTAAAGCCTTAAATACCCTGAATGGATCTCTTACCTGGGGAGGGGGACTGGCTGTAGACAGGAGGAGGCGTGGCAGGCCCGGCCTGAGGAGGCGGGACTTGGTTGGAGAGGGGAGTGGCACGTTGCACAAAGATGAAGGCTGGCCCCTTGGTAACTGGAAAGGGGCGGGACTCATTTCAGAGGGTTGGACCCAGGGCAGAACAGGAAGGGATGGGCTCCAGGACACTTTGGCAGGCGCTGATTGATGGCTCAATGTCTTGGAGATGTCTCTGTGATAGATGCCAGTAATGTCAGAACTCCGCCCACCAGTTGGGAGGAGGAAGAAACTTATAAAATGTAGTGAAAATTTTATTAATTATAGTTCTCTCTGGATAGTACAATCATGGTGTGGTATCAATAATTTATTTTTCTCTTGTTTTTCTAGATTACCAAAATTTTCTGTACTAAACATTTATTACTTTTATAATTCAAAATAATTGTAAATAAACTTAGAGAGCAATTTAGGGAATAAAGCTAGATAATGATCCCCTAATAGTCAAGAATTAATTATTCCTCCTATTTTACCTCCTGATGAAGCACTTTGGGGGTCCAGTCTACTCCAAAATGTGAAATAAACTTAACTCTGCTCTAGCCTCATGGAACAGCATTGCTGAGGGTCCACATTATATTCAAAAGCTAGAGGGCCTATCCCATCATCATTTTTGGGTGGGGTGTGAGGAGAAAGAGAAGGATCTCCTGAACTGGGGTTTCTACCATCAAACTTCATAGGATGCTGAAGAAGACAGACAAGAAGAGGTGTCTAGTGAAAGCTGCCACAGCAGCTCACAGACGTTACTATCACTCTTCCACAACCAAGTACTGCTCATTCTCAATTTGCCCTCTTCCTGATTTTTAAAAATACATGTTTTTATTGATTTCATAAAGGAAGGGATTGGAGAGAGAGATATACATACATCAATGATGAGAGAGAATCATGATCGGCTGCCTCCTGCAGGCTCCACACTGGGGATCCAGCCTGCAACCTGAGCTTGTGTCCTGATCAGGATGAATTGCAACCTGGTTCATAGGTCTCATAGGTCAATACTCAACCACTGAGCCTTGCTGGCCAGACTGATTCTTGCATCAGAACGAAATGGGCCGCTTTTTAGAGATCCTCTCTGTTAGCAGCTCTGAGGACCCCCTTCCACATTCATGGATCACGTCAGTCCGAACAGCCATGGATTTTTCTAGGCACAGCTCCCACAAAGTGCACATTTCTCTCTCCTGTCGAGACTAGAGACCTCACTTTATCCCAGGCAAAATCTGACCTTTCGTGGTGGGGTGCAGAGCTTCTCCGAATCTGTGTGTTGTTGCCAATTGGGGGTGGTGTTCTGGCAGATGTTTGTGGTTGCCACAGTTGTAGCTTTTCAAGCCTCCAACAAGATCCATATTCCCCTTCAATATGGCACAGTCTGCGCATCCGAGCCTGCAGCTCTGGTAGAGGACCCAGCAGCAGCGGGGGCTTCTCAGTCAGGGGAACCCCGTCTAGCAGTACCCACCTTCTCCTGTAGCACAGCTGCCTTTAACTTGCCAACAAATACTCCCTGTGCGACCTCAGCTGTTCTTTCCTTCTCCTCTGGGACAAGGCTTGGCACCTGTCTGTCTATTCTGCTGCCATTTTTTCTTCAAATTAATACATTTTTAAAGTCATCATATAAAGAAACAATTATTGTATAACACGTATTATGCTTAAATCGTATAATGGTTAATTTATGTAATGTTTGACAAAATTGAATGAGAATATGTTGCTTACATATCTCACATTTGACTAGGGTATTGTTATAGAGTTTTGGGAATGGTGTTGCCCTTGCTTATCTATACTAATAAAAGGGTATTATGCTAATTAGAACAGGAGATCTTCCGGATATCCTTCTTCACAAAGCTATCCTTCTGGACAAAGCCATGGTGGGGTTGAGGCACAGGCAGTTAGAGGTGATCAGGTCAGGAGGGGAGGGCAATTGGGGGTGATCAAGCTGGTGTGTGTCGGGGGATGGTTGGGGGTGAGAAGGCCCTAGGCAGAGTGATTAGGGGAGATCAGGCAGGTGAGTGGTTAGGAGCCAGCTGTTCCAGATTGCAAGATGGATGTCTGGTAGCTGGACATCCCCAGATGGATCACAGATTGGAGGGCGTTCAGGCCAGGCTGAGGGACACCCCTTACACCTGTGCAAGAATTTTGTGCACTGGGCTACTAGTTTATTAATAATTCATTAGAAGAGAGTTTTGAAATATGATCTCCACCTGTAAAATTATTGACATTGATGTTAGACAATGTCCTTTTATAAAAAATTCATTGTTTAAATATTAATAATCTTAGTTTCTGTGAAATGCAATGATTCATTTTGTGTAAATGAGCTAAATATATTATTGTGCTATTATAATCAACAGAATGATGCACTTATTACGTAAGATGTTTTATTAATAATTCAACATGGACTCCCAGCTTATCCAAAACATAATGTAGAAGCATAACATTAAGCAGTTCCTAAATATGTTTGAAATGTGACTATTTGAGGAGGGATATCTAGGTTATTCAGTGGATATTTGTGAAATAAAATTTATTGTTTTGTTTTCTTATGTTTATTCTACTAAAAAAATTGACACAATCCTGACTGTAAATCTGGAAACTTGTAAAAATAATCTGATGACTTCCCCCATCATGTGATTATATAATCTACTATAGTGAGGGAATTATAAAATTGACTAGGGTATTGAGAAACTAAGAAACTAAGTACTTTCGGGAAGCCAGAAAATTGAAATGAAATTTCTGTTTCAGAACTTTCCTACTCATATGCATTTAATATAGTAAAAGAAAGTGGCTTGTAAATATGCATTTTTATGTAATTCTAACATTGCTAAATTTACCATTATTTAAAGAATTTCAGTGCTTAAAAGTGCTTGGAAATCTGCCACTGAGGAAGCTGCTCCTGGCAGCACAATGGTGTCACCAGCAGGTCGCTCAGGAAGGCACCACAAACTCCTAATAAGGTTTCCTGACAGAGGAGACAGTCTCAACCCACTGTGTCAGAGGTTGTGAGATCAGAAGGACTACTATCTCACTCTTCTTCAATTTCACAGCATTCTAAAGGAAGTAAATTGCAGATTAGCTGATACATCAGGGTCCACTAGACACTGCCGAAATAATAAAAACATTATCTCAGAAGGAAAATCGTGTCTCAAGAAGTTGAATACATCCAACGTGGAGGTCCAGAATAATCACTGACACTGTGGCTGTTGTTTGTTATTAAACAAAAGAATAGCCTTTACAATAAAGGGCTTCTAAAATGAGAAATTACATATTAAATAACTTTCATATTCTGTAAAAAAAAAAAGAAATATAGAAAACTTAAGACACTTGTATCTTGGTCAACTTCTCCACAAGCTTACCTTATTGCTTATATACTTTATACTTATTAAAGTACACATTTTAAAAATCTGTGGCTGCCCTAACCGGTTTGTGGATAGAGCATCATC